TTTTTTTTTTTTTTTTGAGTTGGAGTCTCACTCTGTCACCCAGGCTGGAGTGCACTGGCAGGCTCCCAAGCACCACAGCATCGACCTGCTGGGCTCAGGCGCTCCTTCCGCCTCAGGCTTCCAAGTAGCTGGAACTACAGGCATGCCAGCACATAGTTGCCAGCTAATTTTTTTGATTTATTGTAGAGGCGAGGTCTCACCAAGCTGGTCTCAAACCCCTGGCCTCAGGCAATCCTCTCACACCCAGCTTAGACCACTTTTAAAATACGAATAGTCTACGGATACTTAAGAGAAAGATGTTTATGGGAAGGATTATAGGGGGTTTTTTGTTTATTTATTTTAGGATTAGTTTAGCAGATTTTGGAATGTTGGTTTGATATGGTGCAGTATGTCCAATTTCGGAGAAAATAATCCTTCGGCCATTTTGACATACTAGAAAAACACTTGTAAAGCGCTTACCACACTTGTTAGTACATTTTAGTGAAGTTTTTGAAACCTTAATTTTTCTGGATGCTTTTTAAGGGGAACTTTCTCTCCCCTTTAGTTGGTGAGTTTGGTGTGGTCCCTTTTGGGTTCCCTGAGTGAAAGGGAGAGAAAGAGGCTGCGATTCTGCAGGTTTATGGCCCTGTTACCTGGGAGGCCCTGGAAGGCCTTTCTGAAACTGTACAGGTGACCTCATCAGCACTCCTTGCCCAGGGCTCCCTGCTTCTGTACCCTTCTACCTATTCCTATCCACCCACATCTTTCCCTCTGCCAGCTTGCAGCACCTGAGATCCCAAGAAACTCCCCAAACAGGACTGGTTTGCTCCTGACTCTTTTTTGCCCATCCTGTGACACAGTTTTGTTTGTTTGTTTTTTGAGTTGAAGTCTCACTCTTGTCGCCCATGCTGTGGCACACTCACAGCCACTGCAGCCTCAACGTGCTGGACTTAGATGATCCTTCCGCCACAGCCTTTGAAGTAGCTGAAACTACAGATGTTCGCCACCATGCCTGGCTACTTTCTGTGATTTATTATAGAGACGAGGTCTCACCAAGCTCCCCAGGCTGGTCTTGATCAGACAATCCTCTTGTCTTGGCCTCCCAAAGTGCTGGGATTACAGGCTGAGCCACTGAGCCTGGCTAGTAATTGTTTTCTTGAATGATGGCATTGGGTTTTTTGTTTGTTTGTTTTTGTTTGTATGTTTTTGAGTCAGAGTCTCACTCTGTCATCCAACCTGGAGTGCAGTGGCATGCTCACTGCCACTGCAGTCTCGACCTGCTGGACTCAGGCGATCTTTCTGCCTCAGCCTCCCAAGTAGCTGAAATTATAGGCACGTACCACCACACCTGGCTAATTTTTTGATTTATTGTAGAAACAAGTTCTCGCTATGTTGCCCAGGCTGGTCTGGAACTCTTGGGCTTAGGCAATCCTCTCACCTTGGTCTCCCAAAGTGCTGGGATTACAGGCATGAGACATGCTACCGGCTGATGGCATTGTTTCATCATTCATTCAATAAATAGTTATTGAGCATCTACTGTGAGGAATGGACTCTTTTAGAAGCTGGAAAAACAACAGCAAATAACATATCCTCATAGAGCTTATGTTCTCATGAGGGAAACTATAAAACAGACAAACACATGAAATCATTATGGATCATTAGTGCTATGAATGAAGGGACTATGGGGCCCACGTTAGTTGGACAGTGAAAGTGTCTGTGAGGCAATGTTTAAGCTGGAGCCTTCAAGATGAGAGGGACCCCGGTTTGCAGAGATGTGGGGGGAGGTAGAGGAGAACTAGGTACATCCCAGGAATCCACAGGAGGCCAGCATGGCTGGAGTGTAGTGAATACCAGGGAGGCTATAACGTTTGAAGAAGCTTTGATTTTTATCCACGGTATACCCAAAAGCTACTGAAGAGTTTTAAGTAGGAGGCTGAAGTGATCTGTTTGTGTTTTTAAAAGATGAGTAACTACTCTGTGGAAAATGTATTGTGGGGGAGAAAATTGCAAGTAGGGGAGTCAGGTGGGTGGAATTGCGATGGTCAGGCCAAAGTCACTGGGACTTGGACTAGGTGATGGAGGTGGAGGAGGAGAAACGTGGACAGATGCAAGGTAATTTTAGAAGTCAGATGGAGAGGGCTGAAAGGTGAGTGAGATGGAGGGGTGAGATGTGCATTTGTCTTTCCGACATGACTTTTAGCAACATGAACCAGGACGAGGGTCATTGCACCTGTACAGTGAGGGCTTATGAATCAGACACCAAGGTAAGCGGAGTCATTTCACAGCTTTTTCCCCAGGCACTGAAGGACAATGGAATGAAAGAGGTGGAGGTATGAAAGGCCATATGAACTCTTCATACTGTATTCCTGAGCCAGAACCATCACCAGCACCACCATCGTCGTCATCATCTTAGTCTGCTTGGGCTGCCATATCAAAACACCATGACCAGGCGCAGTAGCTCACATGTGCAATCCCAGCACTTTAGAAGTCTGAGGTGGGAGGATTACTTGAGCCCAGGAGTTTGAGAACAACCTGGGTAACATAGCAAGACCTGTCTCTACAAAAAAAAATCAAAAATTAGCAGGGCATGGTGGTGTACACCTGTAGTCTTAGCTGGAGGCTGAGACAGGGAGATCACTTGAGTCCAGAAGTTTGAGACCGCACTGAGCTGTGATTGTGCCACTGTGCTCCACACAATAGACTGGAGTGCAGTGTAAACAACAGAAGTTTATTTCTCACTGTTTGAGAGACTAGAAGTCCCACATTAAGGTGCTGGCTGATTTGGTTAGGGCTCTCCCCCTAGTTTGCAGGTGGCTGTTTCTCATTGTATTCTCACATGGCAGAAAGTGCAATCATCTGTCTCATGTCTGTTCTCATAAATAGGGGTAGAACCTTATTTATGAGGGCTCTACCTTCATGATCTAATTACTTCCCAAGGGCCCCATATCCAAATACCAGCATTTTGGGGATTAGTTCTTCAGCATACGGATTTTGGGAGGACACAAGTATTCATTCCATAGCAATCATTATCATCTAATTGGGCTCACATTATTTATTGTGGACTAGATATTGCACTAAGTGCTTTTTACAAAGATTTTCCTTCTCACAATCCTGTTAGGCAGGTACTATTATTATCTCCATTTTCTAGTTGTGGAAGTGAAGTTGAAAGATGTTTTAAACACCTTACCTAAAGTCAACCGGCTTGTGAGTGGCCGAGCTGTGAGTGGTGCCTGGGCTGTCCGACTTCAGAGCTCCTGTTCTTTTCTGTGTTCTGAAGCTTTGTCCCTTCATTTTCAGAGGAGGAACGGGAGACTCAAGAAGCGGAGTTGTTTTTCTGAGTCTTGCCTGCCTTCTCTTTTTGGCCATGTGTTTCCTCCTGTTTCCCACTTGCTAACACCTTGGTCCAGCTAGTATCTCCCATCACTGAGCTTACTTCCTAACTGATGTCCCAGATTTCCCACCCACACTCACTCTGCTGATAACTGACCTACAGAATCCTCGATGGGGCTTCACCGGGGCAGGTGCCATTCTGGAGTTTCTTTTTGAGATGGAAATTTTGGTTGTATAATTCTCATAACATTTCTCTTTTCTTGTGAGCAGGCTCCTGAGAGGGACAAGCATACGGGGGATCAGAGGCCTTCAACACCTTCTCCATCACCCCAGCCTGCTGCTGAGAAGAACTCATACCTTTACTCCACGGAGATCACACTGTGGACAGTGGTGGCCGCCATTCAGGCCTTGGAGAAGAAGGTGGATTCCTGTCTGGTCCGCTTGCTGACTCTGGAAGGACGGACAGGGACAGCCGAGAAGAAGCTGGCTGACTGCGAGAAGACTACCATGGAGTTCGGGAACCAGCTGGAGGGCAAGTGGGCCATGCTGGGGACCCTGCTGCAGGAATATGGGTTGCTGCAGAGGCGGCTGGAGAATGTGGAGAACCTGCTACGCAACAGAAACTTCTGGATTTTACGACTGCCGCCAGGCAGCAAGGGAGAAACTCCCAAGGTAGCCCTTGGATGCCCTGAAGTGAGGGAGTCTGAGGGCCCCTGCCTGTGAGTGTGTGGGTGAGCGAGCGTGACACTTGTGGTTCCAGGTGCCCGTGACCTTTGATGATGTGGCCGTGTATTTCTCCGAGCAGGAGTGGGGCAAGTTGGAGAACTGGCAGAAGGAGCTCTACAAGCACGTGATGAGGGGCAACTACGAGACGCTGGTCTCCCTGGGTAAGGCTGTGAAGGGAGGATATGGGCCTCTCTCCACAGGTTGGCCTCCTGCAGTCTGTGTTTTTGCTTTGGTGGCTGTTACTTTGGGCATCTCTGCATCTCTCTGGGCAACTGGGACCCAGCTCTCTCCCCATTCCCTGTTCTGTGTGTAGATTATGCCATCTCCAAACCAGACATCCTCACCCGGATAGAGAGGGGAGAGGAACCTTGTCCTGAAGACCAGTGGGGCCAGGAAAAGGGGAATGAGGCAGAGGCAACACATCCAAGGAATCTGGGTGCTGGTGAGTATGGGAGCAAGATGGGACAGCATATGGGGCAAACTGAAACACGCTCTCTGCTTCCCAGACAACCTGAGAGCCCTGGAAGGGCACACAGGCCCTTAACCAAATGTGGGGCCCACTTTGTCCAAGGCCACCCCGCACAGGGGTGAGTAGAGTGCTTTTCCTTAGAGCCATACAGTTTCTACATCTGTACAGGGGGCACAACCCTGCTCACCTCACATGGTTGTAGGGATTGAGATGGCGAATGTTAAGCACATAGGCTCTGAGCATTGTATAATTATGGGGACTTATTATTACTAATAGTAATGCCACTAGCAGCTTCACCACCTGGCGTCTTCGGGGGTGTTCATGTCTGCACTGTGGCCCTCCATGGTTTCTCCCCACTCCAGTCTTCAGCAGGAAGGCCTGTCCTGTGTTGGCTTCCGTTTGTGGAAGTGAGCCCCTGGGAAAAGAGCTGAGGCATCCCTGTCCCCATAGCTAGTAAAGAACAGTGGTTCCAAAGGTGACTATACATCAGAATCCTCTGGTGGACTTTTTAAAAAAATTAAATTATAAAAAGTAAATGAAAGTACAACAGTATGGTGAACCTCCACATGGTCATCACCCAGACTCAATCGTCGTTCAGGTTTTGCCACATTCACTTTATCCCTTTCTCCCCCTTTTCTAAACATAGCCACAGTATCGTGGTCACACCCACAGAATATCATCTAAAACCTAGCCTTTGTTCTGTTTTTCCCCGATTGTCTTAAAAATGTTTTCTATAGATATTTAAACTAAAGTCCACACGGTGCATTTGGTTTATATGTCTCTTACATCTATATAAAACCTATAAAATCCCCCTTTTAACAGCCTTATTGAGATAGAATTCATATACATACAATTCACCTATTAAAGTGTACAGTTGAGTGTTTTTTAGTATATTCATAAAGTTGTACAACCATCACCACAGTCCAATTTTAGACTCTTCTTGTCCCATTGAAATGAAACTGTACCCATTAGCAGTCACTCTATTCCCCCACTCCAGCAACTGCTGATCTGCTTTCTGCATATTTTGGTTTGCCTGTTTTGGACATTTCATATAAATGGAATCATACAATATGTGGCCTTTTGTTTCTGCCTTCTTTCATGTATCATTATGTTTTCAAAGTTCATCCATGTTGTACCAAAAATGAGTACTTCATTCCTTTTCATGGCTGGATAATATTCTGTTATATAGCTAGACCATGTTTTGTTTATCCATTTATCCATTTATCCCTTGCTGCCTTTAATGTCATTTATTTGTTGACATTTTGTTATTTATCTTTTTTTTGAGACAGGGTCTTACTCTGTTGCCCAGGCTGGTACAGTGGCTCAAGCATGGCTCACTGCAGCCTGAACTCCTGGGCTCAGGTGATTCTCCCACCTCAGCCTCTTGAGTAGCTAGGACTATAGATGTGCATCACCACGCCCAACTGATTTTTTTGTTTTTGTTTTTTTGAGTTGCAGTCTCACTCTGTCACCCAGACCAGAATGCAGTGGCACGCTCCCGGCCACCGCAGCCTCGACCTGCTGGGCTCCCGCGATCCTTCCATCTCAGCCTTCCAAGTAGCTGGAACTACAGGCGCGCGCTACCACGCCCACCTAATTTTTGATTTATTGTAGAGACGAGGTCTCGCCAAGTTGCCGAGTCTTGATCCCGTGGGCTCAGGCAATCCACTCACCTCGGCCTCCCAAAGTGCTGGGATTACAGGCTGAGCCACCGAGCCCAACCTTTTTGGTTTTTTTGTAGTGATGAGGCCTTACTATGTTTCCCTGCCCTGGTCTTAAACTCCTGGCCCCAAGTGATCTTCCTGCCTCTGCCTCCCTGAATGCTGGGGCTACAAGTGTGAGCTGCTGTGCCTGGCTGCTGTTTATCTTATCTTTTTTTAATGCTCACAATTTGGATTTTGTGGCATTTAGCATGTTCTTTTACTTCCTGAATTTTCTGTAAACTGGTAGGTAAACCTAGCAGCTTATTTAGATTCAGGTTCAATTTTTGTGGCAAGACTCCTTCAGAGGTGGTGCTGTGCACTCCTGCTGTTGTCACATCAGGAGACACCAGAGGTCTGGTTGTCCTTTCTTTTTGTGATTGACAGTCTTATCCTTCTATTGTAAAGTTCTACATCACCTTTTCACTTCATGAGTTTGATAGCCGTTAAAGATTGTTGCCTGGATTCATTATTTCTTTGGGGCTTGCAAAATGGCAACATTCTATCATTACTTTTACCCCTGATAGCTGGAATTCTTTTATAGAGAATACAAGGGAGGACCCACCCAAAAAATAGGAGTTATGTTTTGGAGGGCAGGCCCCTTGTAGTACAAGCTTCTCTCACTAGGTAAGTGTTCTAGGACCCCATTGGCATCAGTGTAACAGCTAACATTGTTGTAAGAGGCTGTGTTCAGCTTCAGTTAATTTTTTTGGGAGAACCTTTCAAAATGTCTGCCCATTTCATGATGGTGATTTACACAAACAACCTGCCCACACCTTGCTGAGTGTTCAGCAGGATTTGACCAAAAATGTTATGACCCTGTGTCCCACCCTCCCTGTTCATTTGATATCATCCCTTATTGACTTTTTTGTTGCCCTGAATGAAAAAAGTCCTCAAAAGGAATGTTTTGCTGATATGGAAAAGGTGAAACAAAAAAATGACAGAAGCACTAAAAGGCATAAAAGCTGACAAGTTCAAAAATTGTTTTGAGCAGTGGAAAAAGCATCTTGGTAGGTGTATTGCTTCAAATAGAGAGTACTTTGAAGGTGACTGAAGTTTAAACATGTAAGAATAAATATGCAATTTTTAATAAATAAATTCCAGGTTTTTTTTTTTTTTTTACCTCCCCTTGTAGTTTCTCTAATCAACTCTTTTAGGTACTCTGAAATGTAGTCTGCACATTTGAACTTTTTAAATTTTTTCCCACTTTTATCTGCATTTATTTTATGCTGAGTTTGTTCCTCTGCCATACGTTTTTGTTTCTCTGTTTCTTCAGGGATATCGTTTCCTTCTTTGCAACCTCCTCCTCTGGTATAGGAATAATTTGTTCTTTTTCAGTGAGGATCATCTCAATATGGCAGGGGGAGCTCATGCATGGGTTAATCCAATCATGAACTCTGTACATCCCACAGGGCATCATGGGGACTTTGTTCACCTGGATTTGCTCAGTGACCAGAGAATGTGCATCTAAACCCTTAAGTTCAGCATTACTCTCTGCATTTTTAAGCATGTGCAGCAAAAATTCAGCCCCAACCCAGTGTCCAGCTCCACCATTTGACTGGGACACACTACCACCTCCACTGTTGAAGCATTGGAAGGGCACGGGCTGTTTCTGTAGAGTGATATCTTTCAGATTCTTGGTAGTTTTTCATATGTGCATACCCTTGATGGCCTGGGTGTTCTTAAAGTGAACACAAAGATGGGATCCTCTTGACTTTGATGAATTTGTGGTTTTTTTCCAGCTTGAGCGAGTAGCGGACCATCTTTGTGGGTCACTCAGGCTGCTTAGGGGAAAAGGAAGTGGGCTTTTTTTGTATTATTACTTTGCAGGTGGTTAAATATTTGACATGTGACAATCTTTGTAGTCTGTTTAAAATTTCCCATTTTTAGTTAGTGGGAGTCTCTTTTTAAAAGTTGGCTAATAGGTCATTTTGATACGATCTCAGTGGCTTTCAGATACCATAAGGTGCATCAGATTCATCTGTGTATTTTCTGTGACTTGGAATAAAAATTTCTCCATGCATTTTTGACTCCTTTTAGTGAGGAATGGTATTTAGAGACTTCAATGTGTTAGTTGTTACTGATTTTTCACATTACTTCTAAGCCTTTTCAGAAAATACGTATTTTTGAAAAGGAAAAAAAACCCCAAGTTCATTTTGTTATTTCTAATTCAAGCAAAATATTCTTGATTTTATACTTGTATGTCATTTTTCTTTCACATAGAGCATCAAATTCTCAACCAAATTAGCATTTTTTTTTTGAGTTGTGGTCTTACTCTATTATCCAGGCTGGAGTACAGTGGCACAATCACATCTTGCCACAGCCTCAACCTCCTGGGCTAAGGTGATCCTTTCACCTCAGCCCCCCAAGAAACTGGGGCTATAGGTGTGCACCACCATACGTGGCTAATTTTTTTTATTTTTTATTTTTTTGTAGAGACAAAGTTTCTCTGTGTTGTCTAGGCCAGTCACAAACTCCAAGCCTCAAGCAGTTCTCCTGCCTCAACCTCCCAAAATGTTGAGATAACAGGTGTGAATCACCAATCTGGCGGTAAATTAGCATAATTATTTACATTATCTTCTGTCTAAACCTATAACACTTCATTATCCTGTAATGTCATAAAGTTTCAAAACAATGGAGCCAGTAATACTACTAACGGTTAGACTTTTGGTTGAAATCTAAGATTTATTTGTAATTCTTTCTGTCCTCAGCATACATTCTCTTCAGGACTTATGGGCAAAATAATACCTTTTAAAGTCACTTCAAACAATTATTTTCTTTATGGGGTTATGTCACCAATTTGGTATATAATTGAATTCATTTGTTTCTGTTTATTTTTAGATTTTTTTAAAGAACTTGTTATCTTTTTTCTTTAAGAGATGATATCTCTCTGTGCTACCCAAGTTGGTCTTGAACTCCTGGACTCAAGCAGTTCTCCCACCTTAGCCTTCCAAAGTGCTGGGATTGCTGTCATAAGCCACTGCACCTGACCAGATTGCTTTTTTTACTTTTTGATGTAGTTTAATTTTTTGAATATGTAATATATTTTATGTTTGCAAAGTTAGAATGATTTAATGTTTTAGAGTACATTTAGGGAAATTTTATTTCCATCCTTGTGCCCTCTCCATATAGATAATCATTTTTATTAGTTTCTTATATTTCCAATGTTTCTTTTTGAAAATATCAGCAACACATATATACATTTGTGTCCCTGTCCCTGTCTTATACAGGATGTCTTGGAGATCCCTTCATCTCAGTATGTAGAGATCTCCCTTAGTTTTTCTGTGGATTCAGAATATTCCATGGTGTGAAAGTGTATTTAACCAGTCCCCACCATGGAGATTTGGGTTATTTCTAGTACTTTCCTGATACAAATAATGCTGCAGGGAGCACTTTGTGCATAAATCAGTTCATATTTTTACCAATGTATCTTTGAGATAGATTCCTAGAAGTTGGACTCCTGGGTCAAAAGTTAAGTGAATATGTAGTTTAGGAAAATTTATCATTAAATTCCCCTCCAAAGGCTTGCTCATTTGCATTCCTTTTAGCAATGTGAAAGAGGGCCTCTTCCCCACAGCCTTGCCAGCAGAGAATGTGGGCAGACTTCTAGGATTTTTGTCATTCAACAGGTAAGGAGTATGTCTGTAGCTTGTTTGCGTATTTACTTATTTATTTTGAGTAGGAGTCTCACTCTGTCACCCAGGCTGGAGTGCAGTGGCACACTTAAGGTCACCGCTTAGGTGATCCTTCTGCCTCAGCCTTCAAAGTAGCTAGAACCACATGTGTGCGCCACCACGCCCAGCTAATTTTTTGATTTATTATAGAGATGAGGTCTTGCCAAGTTGCCGAGGCTGGTCTTGAACCCCTGGACTCAGGCAATTCTCTTGCCTCTGCCTCCCAAAGTGCTGGGATTACAGGCATGGGCCACTGTGTCCAGCTATGTTTGTAGTTTTAATGGCACCTCTCTAATTGAGCATAGTTGAGTAATATTTATATGTTTAAGGACTATGTACATTTCTTATTCTGTGAATTATTTGTTCACCTCTTTTGCTATAAGAAGGTTTTTAGAAAATATGAACTTCCTAGGCCCTGCTCAGAACTCCTGATAAGAATCTTGAAGTGCTCCCCAAGGGTCCTCCTTACCAGCTTGGTAGAGGACTTGGGCTTGGGATTCCTTATTGTAGTGTTCCTAGCCAGGAATCCCTAAAGAGCCAGAGCCTTTTTTTTTTTTTTTAATAGTCACTCTTTATTCAAAATCTGTCAGCTCTTTTACTTAACAAAGAAAATATGAAAGTAAATGTCCATCTTCCTGGTCTCTATGATAGAGGCCACACTTACAATATGTTCATTTCAAAAAGAAAAAAGATTTGTAGATTATTCAACTGAAATCTGGGAGTACTGACATTACATTTTGTCTGTGAGTCCAATTCCTCCATCCTCCTGGAGCTGAGGGGTCCACCTGCTCCAGGCACTGGTTCACAACTGCTGTCTACTCCTGTGCATTGTCACTGGCAAAAGCTGGACACCCAGCATTTTCTGAGAGACACTGCTGCTGTCTCTCCTGCTGTTCTTTCAAAATAATATTTAGTGAGGTTGGCTTGGTCTTTGGAGCCCCCTCCTCTACCTCCCTTTCTTCATCGGGGTCAGTGGAGGCCATGGGGTGGGGTCTTCACCTGACTGAAGCAGAGTCTTTCGAGAGGCCCAGCTCTGCCCTGACGGGGAGCATCACTGGTTTGCAGAGTTTCTTTGATCCTGTGCATGCTGCTGCCTTGCCAGGGCTGTCAGTGTTTCCCCCAAATCCATGCTATGGATGCTACTATGAAGTAGCAGTCATAGCTCACAGTAGCCTCCTGGGGTCAAGCTATCCTCCTACTTCAGTCTCCTGAATGGCTTGGGACTATAGGTATGTGCCACCATGCCCAACTAATTTAAATTTTCTTTTTTTCTTTTTTTTGAGTTGCCTACCTTAGAGGGCAGTGGCATGTTCCTGGCCAATGCAGCCTTGACCTGCTGGGCTTTAGACAGTCCTTCTGCCTCAGCCTTCCAAGTAGCTGAGGCAGAAGGGTCAGTGGCCACCTGGGTGGGAGACCCTTGTGTTGTGGTCATCGTCACCAATTGTGTTCCCCAGACCTCCCAGGTATACGCCATCACACCTTGCTAATTTTCTGATTTAGTGTAGAAATGAGGTCTCGCCAAGTTGCTTAGGCTGGTCTTGAACCCCAGGACTCAGGCAATCCTCTCACCTTGGCCTCCCAAAGTGCTGGGATAATAGGCGTGAGCCACCATCCATGGCCTAAATTTTTTTCTTTTAGTAGAGATATGTGTTGTCCAGGCTGTCTTCCCACTATTTAAAACATTATTTTCAATTCCTGGTGGCTCTTGAATGGTCAGGATCTCATATTTTGGTTTAGGCATTTATTTTATTATTTTATTTTTTTTTTGAGTTGGAGTCTCACTCTGTCACCCAGGCTGGAGTGCAGTGGCTGCTCCCGGCCACCGCAGCCTCGACCTGCTGGGCTCCCGCGATCCTTCCGCCTCAGCCTTCCAAGTAGCTGGAACTATAGGTGTGTGCTACCACGCCTGGCTAATTTTTAAAAATTTATTGTAGAGATGAGGTCTCGCCAAGTTACCCAGGCGGGTCTCGAACCCGCGGGCTCAGGCAATCCACTCACCTCAGCCTTCCAAAGCGCGGGATTACAGGCTGAGCCACCGAGCCCAGCTAGACCTTTATTTTTCTCACTCTTTCTTGAAGCTTCATTTTGCTCAGAATCACCACTTGATGCTTTGTTGGACTTTTTAGTAGGATGAAAAATGTGTTTCTCTTTGTTGTAGGAAGGATCCAAAGATTGAACTTCAGAAGTTGAGATACTAAATTTTCAAGATCTACTGATGAAGTGACTGTCCTTGGGTTTACCATGAAAGTAACATTTTTAGGGGCTGATGACAGTTTTGTAGATAATGTCTGCTGAGCACTGTAACCCATTGGTGTCTAAGGTAACTTTCTTGTTCGTGAAGGGGAATCGGTAGCAGTGTTATCAGTTACAGATTCAGTTGGATTATGATGTTTCACCCTCTGATAACCCTACACTTGGTTTTACTGCTTCTCTTAGAAGAGAAACACGAGTCAAGGAGGAGTGGCCAGGGCCCCACTGGGGGCTTTTCCATCTCTGACAGATCATTCTTCCCTGGACACTGCAGTACAGGGACAGAAAATTCAGATTCAGGTTTGGAGGTAGAGCCACTTTTCCCAACAATTCTGGATTTCCTGTCTGTTCTTTATAATGCCATCTGATTTCAAACTCTTCTCAGCATAAATGGATAAATGATCTGAGCCGTCAGCTGATTTTTTTCCTGAATGGTAGAGTTCCACCAGCCCTTTTACTGTCAGCCTTTTGCTCATCCATGTTTTTTTCCCCCTTATCATCATAGGTTTCTTTCTCCTTAAAAATCAGAGCTTTGTTTCATGTGGGAGAGGGCACATATGCTCATTTCAGGGTCATTTGAAAACTTCAGTAATGACTGTATTGTTCGTGATCATACTGGACGACAGGCACTGGGCAAACATTTCATGGAGACTTGGGGGTATCAGGAGAGCAGGCGTAAGAATGAAGTGTTATCTCAAAAGATAAAGACTGAGGCAGAAATATGGATGCTCCAAGGGCCATATCTTCAGTGTGTATTTCTGCCTCGCCTTCAGACTCCCTGACACCACGGAGAATGATTTGGAGGAGTAAAAACCCCTCATCAGAAACTAGTAGTCTCCCTGTCTTCTGGTGGGACAGGAAGCATGGCATTTCTTTTCCCTGCCTTAAAAAGCCAGATTCTTGACCCTGATGTGTCATGGCCTGTCTGGTGATGATTACCCTGAGTTACTGTCTGGTGAATTACTGTGCTGTACAGTTTCTTTCACTGGCACCTGGAGGCTTCAGACTGGAATTCAGCTACTAGATGGTCAGTGAAGTTCACATCATTGTCACACCCTGTGTTTGAGCTGATGCCCCTAGATCCCAGTGACTCTGCATTTAGCCATTTCCCAGAGGGTCAGTTGCCACCTGGGTGGGAGACCCCTGTGTTGTGCTCATTGTCACCAATTTGTGTTCCCCAGACCTCCCTTCATATCCAGAGCATGCTGCTGGCCCACTCAGCCCTGCCCAGGAGGAGATGAAAGGGCAGGCCTCTGAGCAGCAGCGAGACTTGGAGGCAAGAGTGACCCCACCTGGGCCCGGCACTGGTGAGTGAGGACAGCCAAGACAGCTGGATAAACGGTGTCCCAAGGCAGCAGCATAGAGTGGCCAAGCAAGGGGTGCTGAGGATAAGTACTGGGAGCTTGGGAGTGGGAGATGGCTGGGACCCAACTGGGCTGAGCTGGACAGGTTTCCTGGGAATGGGGACCCGAGAGTTCTTTGTCTGCTTCTGTTTAAAGGCAGTTCCTGCCCATCCTTTCTCATGTATAACTCAGAAGACATTTAGTACAATATTTGACAAACCATCCAGAGAGTCATTTTTCTGTCTCTGTGTGAGCTCTGTGGCGTTGGTTCCTCCTGTCCCATCTCACTGCTGGGCCAACTTTTAGTCTCTGGTTGCTCTCTCTCCAGTGATTTCTGTGTATCTCTCCCACTGAATATGACCTGCCCTCCCTTCCCCATGTCCCTCCTTCCCAGCCAGTGTGTACGTTTGGCCTCTGCTCATGGAATTGGAGTGATGAGACCTTTTCAGGTGGGAAGGGGTGAATCTGCCCCATTGCAGACCTGTAACTGTGTCCTGGGGCTGCTTTAAACCCTTTGTTCTTTTGAGGCCCATCAAGGAAACATGTTGAGGGGCAGGTCGTTAGCACTGGCCTGCATGGGGACTAGTGTGTGGCCTTTATGGTTCTCTTCCCACCTTAGAAGCCCTCCAGAGGCCCTGGGGCCCCTTTCCCTGACAGAGACTTGAGCATGTCTAGGGCTCACTGGGGAGATGGCTGTACTACCCTGCAGAAACCTGGTGTTGGGAGAAGCCCTCACAAGAGTTTCTCTCTCACAGGGCTTCCAGTCAGCACCAGCGTTTTAGTCTCAATTAAACAGGAAGAAGAGTCTTCAGATGGGGAATCAGCAGCCTCCCCTGCCAGAGACATCCCGCCCAGCATTGGGCTAGGTGAGTGAAGGGATGAGGCACCTGTGGCCACAGCAGAGCCTCACAGAAGCCTGGGGGACACTTTGGGAGTTGGGTGGGGTCGGATGGTAGGACCTGGTGAGAAGCTTCCTCCAGAAGATTCCCTCCCTCATGCCCCAGTTGTTGTTTCCCTGGGGATTAGGGAACCCAGATCCCTCTAGGGTCCTGGTCTTTCCCCATGTTGTCTGGTGCGACTGGAAGGGTACTCCATGAAAACGAGTCATTTGCCATCAGGTGTGTGGCCTGATGTTGACAGAAAAGCCATTCATACAGTCTTGTTTCATCCTCAGCCACCCTGGCTAGACTCATAGTCTCTGGTGGCCTGCAGTTTTTATGTGGCGGATACAGTTTGATTTAGATCCCTCTGCCTAGAGTCTGCACTTTCCTGATAGGACTTAGTGCCATGTCCCTTCTAGCGTTAGGGACCCCTGAGAGCTGGCTGCTGATCAGACCCCTCAGGTCTCCTGCACATGACTGTGACACCACTGTTTCGGCTGTCATTTTCACTGCTGTCCTGGCAGCTCTTTTGCTCTTTTGCTCAGTTACACCTAAAAGTCGAGTAAGACCCACACTGAGACCTAGACAGGATCACAGGTCACCAGAGAATGCAGTGCCAGGCAGGTCCTGGATGCTCTGTGTGGATGCTGTATGTGCGTGAGTAACTTTGAGTGTTGTTACATTACTCACCTCCTGGCTGTAGAGACCTCTTACCCTCCTCTGGGGGCAGCCAGGGCCCAAAGGGCTCATTGTCCTTCACAGATTGTGGGGTCCTGCGGGCACCTCTGCCATGTCCAGGGTTTCACTGTTGAGGGTCTCTGCCTCTTTGTCTCTTCCTCATTTTCCCACCCATGGGTCCCCCACTCTGGATGACCTCTGACCTCTCAGATTCCCTGACTCCCTGGCTTTGGAGCTTGGTCCTCCTGCCTCCGGATGTCCTTAGTTTGGCTTCCAGGAATGAGGCAAATGACAACAAACAGGACTGAATGACATTACAAGGCAGTGCCTGTATGATAGCGCCCACTGAGCAAGAGCCCTGCACGCTTGGAGGAGAAAGGGTTATGGGAAGGCAGGAGCTGGCTGATCCTGGATGCAAGGACGGGTCAGGCTGGAGTGATTGGGAAACAGGGTGGTGAGGTCCACTTGGAAACCAACGTAGCTTCCTTTTGCCAGGTGGTAGTCGTGTGGCCACCAAGACAGAGGCACAATCTGAGGACGGGATGATGCCTGAGCAGCTCTTTCGGGGGTCGTCCCAGAGCCAGACCGAGTGTAGAATCCTCAGAGGGCCCAGGAACAGGACTGGGCGCCCCAGTCGGCATCATGCTGGAGGTTTGCCAAGAGTGCGGGCAGGGGAGACACGGCCACGGCCACCAGGGGCTGGGGAGGAGCCACCCCGAGTCCTCCCTCGACGGCGAGAACGGGCCTTCCCCTGCCCTGACTGTGGGCAGAGCTTCCGTCTAAAGATTAACCTGACAATTCATCAGCGGACCCACGTGGAGGAGGAGCGCAGGGAGGCCCGCGGCAGCTCTCCCACTGGGTGGGAGGAAGGCCACTCCACCCTGGAGCCGGGAGAGGTGGTGGTGCCTGGCCCCGTCATCCGCTGGCTCCCCGAGGAGCCTGAGGGCCACCGTTCCTTGGCAGGCTGTGCCTTCGTGGGGCGGAGGCCTACGCCCACCAAAGTGTACCACTGCAGTGAGTGCCTGCGCTTCTTCCAGCAGCGGAAGAGCCTGCTGTTGCACCAGCGCCTGCACACAGGCAACAGTCAGGGCTGGCCTGCCTGCCCCTACTGTGGCAAGGCCTTTCGCCGGCCCTCGGATCTCTTCCGTCACCAGCGCATCCACACGGGTGAGCGGCCCTACCAGTGCCCTCAGTGTGGCCGGACCTTCAACCGGCACCACCACCTGGCTGTCCACATGCAGACTCATGCCCGAGGGCAGGTGGGACCACACTTCCCTGTTTCTGCCCAGCAGGGAAGTCCAGCCCTGCCCCATCCCAGCCACACTGAAGAGGGCTGACCAGATAGGAGCCTGCTGGGAACCCTTGGCATGACCCCCCCTCTATCTGTGGGGCCTTTCTTCTTGTGCCTGACACTGGTTCCTTATTCTCAAATGGGTTGGGGGGAGGTTTATTGGTTTTTGTTTTTTTTCTATTCACATGGGAAGCTGTGACCTGTTTGGTGACAGAGTGATGTGTCTGATCAGATGCCTCCATTTCCTGTTTCCTAAGTTTGCCACTCTTTGCTGCCTTTTTCACATTCCTGACTTGTGAAGGATTCTTTAAGCCTTAAAGAATACCAATTTTTGGCGGGGGCCTCTGGTAGGTACCCCAGTCAAGAAGACCAGAGATCACGGCCCTTCCAGTAGGGGAGTAATAGAGACACTGAGGACCTGGGATTTTGATTTTGTGCACAGAGGTCTGCCTGCCTGACATCAACACAAGAAACAGCAGAGTGCACGAATGGCCTGGAAAAAAGGCACTAGAAGTTTGAGTTTTCTATTTTTTTATTTTGAAAAATTTTTTTCCTTATGGAGCCTTTCTAGTGCTTTTGTAAACATTGTGTATAGTTGCAAAGGGGATTAAGAGCTCAGGAGGGGCAGGAATTATTCTGTCACCTCTTTCTTGTGTGGGGCTAGCAGAGCTGGAAGAGGAACTGTCTCCACCAGCCTGCCAATGGGTTTTGATGGGGATACTTTGGCTGCTGTCCTGGAAATGGTATCTTCCCAGTTATGTGTTTCCTGGCCCAGAGTAATTCTCAATATTGCTGGTCCTTCCTCCACAGGATAGTCACAACCATTACTTTTGTTATCAGTTGAGAGGGGAAACTGAAGGCCTGAGTGGATGAAGCTTCCCCCCAAGGTCCCGGGGGTATGCAAGATCAATTGATGTAACCCCAGAAACCCCCCTGGGGGCAATGCAGAAGCAGCCTAGGAAGCTCCTTCCCAAGAGGAAGACCCTGATCTGGGTGAGGCTGGTCAGCATACCTGGGCTTCGGGGCCTCCTGGCCTCCTTTGTCACATTAAAAGGGGCTGTATCCTCCCAAAGGAGTTCTCCTTTGAGAAATTCGGTTCTGGGGCAAAGTTGGGCCAGGAGATCTGGGTGAATCCTTCAGCCGCTGCTTGTCTGTCATAGGGGGTCATGGCCCCAGAGTCCTGCCTCAGAGTTATCAGGGTCCAATTTGGAGGCACTGAGACAAATATGAAGCTGAGTTTTGTCCTTCAAGTTCAGGGTCTCCTTTCTCTTACGTGTTTTCCCCAATCAGAATCCCTCAGGAAGGACCTTTGCCTTCTGGAGTGAGTGGCGGTTCCACTGGATTCAGTGGGAGACTTTTCCACTTGGCTGTGTTCCCCAGGAGCCTTTTATATTTCAGTGAACAAATTCTTAATCAAAGCACAAAGCTCAGACCATGGAAATTCAGGCAGTATTATCAGACCTTATGGAGAAGGCTTGAGGACCACTAGCTTTTTGTGCCTCTTAATGCCACCACTGCGGGTGATGCCTGTAGAGCAGCCTGGGTGAGTGACTTTCAAGCTGGAGTAAGCTATCCTGATGGTTTGTGTCTCATCTGGCATTGAGAAGTGGCCAGCGTTCAGGCCTTTTGGGGACCTAGGGTCCCTGGCTGTGTCACTTTCTCTTTCCCTTCTGACTCTCACTCTCTCCCAAAGTCAGTAACTTGGCCATAATCTCTGGGGCGAGGGTAAGTATACAAGAGTGACAGTTCATCCAGGCTCCTGTGGGTTTGGGAAGAGGCTCTGCTGTGACTTCCCCAACCCTTGGGCTGTATGGGCAAGTGCGCAGAGTACAAGTGTAGCTGCTCAGAGGTTAACCCTCAGCTGCAAAAGGTAGCCTCAGTACTCGGGGGACGCCTCAGGGCTAATAATCTTGTCGGGGTTCTAGGCTGTTTTTTCTAATGCTAAATGCCCTGCGTAAATACTGGCGCTCTAATAGAAACACAAAGCACGAGTAACCGCAAGGCGTCGGCGCTTTTTTTTCTTAGCATTCAGCGTGCTCACCTCTGCGCTAGGCCTTGTGGTTTGCCTAGTACTCAGCAGGAGGTGGTTAAAGAATGTTCTTTACGTTGAAATGAGTCAGCGGAAGCTTTGTGGTGCAGGAGCCGAGGGTGCTGCACACCCGAGAGGTGGGAGACCTGGTTGGGCCCCGGCCTCTCCCAGCCTTGGGTCTCGGCTTCCTCATTTGTGAAACAAAGAAATGGTTGGGCCGCGACGTTAATCGCCCCTAAATTCTGTGAAGGTGGCAGCCTCTTGCCCTAATGGTGCTCAATAAATACGTTGGCATAAATGAGTGCGTGCTCGTAGTCTGGTTCCTGCTCTCCGGGAGGTGAACGGCCGCTCGGGAGGGGCGCAGCTGGCAACGCCGGTGGGCTCTTGGGCACGAGCCGAGGGCCGCGTTCCCCAGGGAGCGCAGCGCCGGCGCTCGCACCTGCCGGGTGCCCACAAAGCCCCGGCGCACGCTGCGGGAGCGGGCCTCCCCCGCTGGCCAATGGGGAACTGGCTCCTGGCCGCGGGGCCAGCCGCGTGCGGCTTAGGGGGCGGAACCTCTCGCGTCGGCCAATGGGGAGGTGGCTGCAGGGCGGGGCCCAGCTCGCTACCTGGGCGCTCCGGATCCCGCCGCCCGCACAGCCGCGGGCTCAGCCTGAGTCCCCGGTGCTTCCCAAGGCCCGGTAGCCGCGCCGCGGGCTCAGCCTGCGTCCCCGGTGCTTCCCAAGGCCCAGTAGCCGCGCGAGCCTCGCCTGTGCGGGGAAGACAGGACCCGGCTGGCACCGCCTGCGGCGAGGATTGGGCGGCCAGGTCTACTTAGGACCGTACACTCGCGCGTGGGCCCGCGGCGTCGGCAGTGGCGACTCCCGGGCCAGGCCAGACAGCGCAGGGCCATGGCCGAGGCGGCTGCGGCTCCGGTAAGGGCGGCCCTAACGGAGGACTCGGGGACGTGGAGCTGAGTCCCGATTTCCTACCCCCCACCTCCCTGCCCTGTCACCTTTTGCTGTTGGGGAGAGCTCAGCCTGGGTGAAGGGAGGACAAGGATGCCTAAGGTCACACGATAAAGTCCCTTCTCCATTCTTGGTCCCAGTTTCTCGTCTATAGAATAAGGTGATTCTACTTAACCACAAGGTTTCGGAGGTTCCCTCCAGCCCTGATATCCAGCGGACCTGGCTCTGTGGGTCCAGGTGTTGGGGGAACGGACTGTGGACGTCTTCCCTCCAGAGACTCCAAGGTTTCTCTCTCTGGACCTGTCCTTTCGGCACCGCCCCAGCCTCACACGCAGTTGGCCATCTCAGGGACAATCACCCCGTCCTCATTCCCCTTTCCCAAGCTAAGGCTAGTGCCATCGTGTGGGCCCCCCAACTTCCTCTGCCTTGCCCCTGGCTGTAAGGCCAAGCTCTAGACCTGAGCTCTGATTCCAGTCAGGATGGATTCTGGTGCGTTCCCACTCTTTTCCAAAATTCCCTGGGAAGTTCTTCCAATCACAGCCAGGAGCTATCTGCATTGTAGCTGACTTCTGCTTAGTGGGCTTCAGGCTCAGGCTTGACTAGGCCACTCCTGGCCTGCATGATAAGAACTGTTGAGATTAGTTTTTGTATGTCTCTGAAGGCAGAGGGTTCATCTCCTGGTAGAAATAGTTTCTTAGTGGTTTTAGACACATTCCAGGATGTCAGATTTGTGGCAGAGCACTGCAAGGGCATAAGGATGTTTGCCCCTAACCTGTGAAGACTGAGTCTGCCTCCTCCAGTCTACACTTTGTTGTACTGGTCAGAGGCCGGACTCGGGGATGGAGAGACCATGCTGTATGAGAGGAAGAAGGGACAGATGGCTGATGACTAGTACATAGTATGTTGGAACACTTTGCTGAATATTTTTTCAGAGAGATCTTGGGGAAACTCAGTTGCATAGAATTGGATTAATCACAGTCTTTGGTTCATAACACATTCTGATGATTGGTCTATGACCTTTATATTTGTTTTTAATAATATGTGCTAATAATACCATATACCCTGAGTGCTTTTCCATACCTTTAGTGCTTTTGACTTTCTCTGGCCCCCATTGCCTGACAGCTAGGACCTGGCCTCCTAGTGTGAAGATAACCCTTGGGCTGGTCCACAAGGTACTTGGGTCATGATGACATGGCATCTCAGGCAGGGCAAAAAGTCACACATCTGTAGATACGAGGGCAGAAGGGCCATAGAAGGCCTGAACTACAGGCCTTCCTCCCCTCTGAACCCACCAAGGGAGGTGGGCTTGCTTTAGAAGAAGGTGAGGACAGAGATTGCTGCCTGGATTCCACCCCCCCACACACATGTTCTGGACTCCACTTTCTCACCATTTCCTGGCTCCTACTGCTGAGCTATAGTCAGTGTAAAACTGGGATTCTATTCCATTCCACGCTCTGTCCATTTATGACACTAATACGTGTTATTTCACTTCCCATTGCCACTGAGTCTTGGTTCAGGATTCTTCTCACAGGGGCTCTGTGAGGTCCAGTGTCTGCCGTCTTTGACTGTCAGGTGGAATGTCTCTAGGGATCTGACCAGTGAGAACTTCTGGCACCCACAAGATGTCTCTGCCATTCCACAGGACCCTGACCTTCCTGCTGTAACTGGGAATGGCCCTGGGCCCCTCTCCTGATGGCTGACTCACCTCCTTGTGTCTAGTCACAGGACTTGCATATGAGGAGTGACCTCCAACGAGAGGCCCAGATCCAATCTGCAGAGATCTCCGTTCTGGCCATCTTGGCTGCTGTTCAGGCCATGGAGAAGAAGATGGAGTCCCAGGCTGTCCGACTTCAAAACCTGGAGGGACGGACAGGGACAGCTGAGAAGAAGCTGGCCGACTGCGAAAAGAAGGCCATGGAGTTTGGGAACCAGCTGGAGGGCAAGTGGGCCATGCTGGGGACCCTGCTGCAGGAGTATGGGCTGCTGCAGAGGCGGCTGGAGAATGTGGAGAACTTGCTGTACAACAGAAACTTCTGGGTCCTGCGGCTGCCCCCAGGCAGCAAGGGGGAGGCCCCCAAGGTACAGGAACTTGGTGTGGGTGGAGAGGGCCTGCCTGGCCTGTAGGGTCTTCACACTCAAAGTAGAGGGAGCCCTTTGTTGATGATGCCTGATTTCTGAGCACCTAAAACTAGTTATCAATTGGCTGCAAGGGCTTGAAAAATGTTGGAAGATAATTGTGACACAGGAAAATGTCTACTTTGGCAGATGGAATGGGGTTTGCTGGGAGGGATATGGCTATGCAGCAATGGTTGTACCTCTTTTTTTTTTTTAAGTAAGTAGGATTTATTGAGAGACTAGAAATGCTCCCACAGTGGGAGGGGACCTGAGGGGGTTGCCCTGGTTGTACCTCTTATTCCAGAATGATGTCTAAGAGTGAGGACTGGTTCAAAGAGGAGATATTGCCAGAAAGCCCCCTCACAAAGCCCACAATTGGAACAGAAGATATACAAGAGGAACTGGAAAAAAACAAAACAAGCCCAGAATTTATTTTTTAAAAATGTGTATTTATTCTTACATATTTCAACTTCAGTCACCTTCAAAGTACTTTCCAACTGATGCAGTGCACCTATCGAGATGCTTTTTCCACTGCTCAAAACAGTTTTTGAACTCACCAGTTTTGATGCTTTTTAGAGCTTCCACCATTTTGTGTTTCGTCTCCTCTGCATCAGCAAAATGTTTCCCTTTGGGGACTTTTTTTCATTCAAGGAAACAACAACAACAAAATCACTTGGTGATGAAATCGGGTGAATAGGGAGGGTGGGGCACAGGGGTCATGCCATTTTTGGTCAAAAACTGCTGGCCACTCAGTGTGGTGTGGGCAGGTGTGCTCGTAAATTATCTATCATGAAACGAAAAAAAATTCACTGAAGCTGAACACAACCTCTCACAACAACACTAGCTAGTCCTTTGATGCTGATGGGTTCCTAGAGCACTTACCTAGTGGGAGAAGCCTATGCTACAAGGGGCCTGCCCTTCCAAAGATAATTCCGGTGTTTTGGGGGTCCCCCTTGTGTGTGCTGGAGAGAGGATGGGAACTAAGGAGGCATGATTCTGAATCTCTTTAGCTCCTTGTTCTGCCCTTTAGCTGAAGGAGGTGTGAGGGAGATGAGTTTGTGTTTGCTCAGTGGTTTGACCAGTGATGTTCTGTGGTTTGGAGGAGGAGAGAGAAGAGACTGGAGCTGGTTTTAGCTGTTCTCTGAAATGGTTGTGCCTTGTGGTGGATGTTGGCAACCTGTACTTCTAGATGCCCGTGACTCCTGAAGATGAAGCCATGTATTTCTCAGAGCAGCAGGGGAGCAGCCTGGAGGACTGGCAGGAGCTCTGCAAGCACGTTGTGAGGGGCAGCTGTGAGACCCTGGACTCCCTGGGTAAGAGGTGGCCCTGGGGGCTTCCAGGCCTTGGTTTTATTCCTTTACTCAATCAGAGAAGACGTGAGGATCTGAGAGTGGGCAGCATGTCGAGGTCATTTGATCAAACCTCTGTCTTCAGGCAGGTAGAGGGTATCCTTAGTTCTCATTTTTAGGTTTTATGACATCAAGCACAGAGGCTAGATGGCTTGTCACAGGTCTCTTGGAGAGTAAATGTGAATGGAATGTGCTCCTCACTGTCCTGCATGGTACCAGAGGGAGCTCTTCCATGCACGCCTCTTGCTTGCCAGCCTGTGTACTCTGTTTTATATTTGCAGGCCTAGAATTCCCCAAGCTATACTCTGCACACTGTGAGTTCTCAAGAAACTCTTGCTAAATGAAGAAAGATCCACTGTGGGTTTGCATTTAAGAGTGCCACAGGTCCAGAAAATGAGGACCAGACCTGGAGTGTTGGTTCTTCAGGCTGGTGTGGGTGCCTGCTTGTGGAAGACTTGCTCAGACCCGGAGTTTTGTAGCTACTCCCACTCCCATGCTCTTCTGCTTGCACACTTGAATTCTCTCACTGCTTTGGGCAGGTGAGCAGTCACCACTTTGTCCATTCTCTCCCCTTGTTGGGAGACTGAGGCCCAGAACAAATTGGCTTACTTCCCTTTGACCACAAAGGTTCTTCTTCCAGAAGAGGGTAAGTGTGCTGCAGAGAGGTGGGGTGAGGGAGGCTGCCTGGCCTCAGGGGAGATAGAGGTAAGACCAAAGCAGGAAACCTGAGAGCTGATGGCCACTACAACTAACTCCCCCTCGATAGCTTGAGGCCAGGAGGCCAACCTGGGCAACACAGTGAGACCCTGTCTCTCTAAAAAAATAAATAAATAAATAAAAAAGCCAGGCATGGTGGCATGTGTCTGTAGTCTCAGCTACTCAAGTGGCTGAGGTAGGAGGATCATTTGAGCCCAGGAGTTCAAGACTGTGGTGAGCCATGATTACGTCATTCACTCCAGCCCCAGTAACAAGGAAAAAAACAAACCTCCCCTTCCTGGGCCTCAGTTTCCCCATCTGTCACATGAGGTAGCTGGACTAGGTAGCTTTGGACTCCTCCTGTCTGTGTGGGCAGGGGATGTGAGTCCTTCCTCCTGGCCACATTGCCCTCACTGGCGGGTCTAAGAGGCCTGGAATGCCTTACTTGCCCTGCCCTACATTTGGAACCCCCAAGACACTCTTTGAAGGGGGAGCACATCCTGCTCCAAGGCTGGCAGAATACCTTCTCTTTTCTGGGCCCGAAGAGAACTCTGTCACTGCCCTTTTCCTCCCCACAGGCCGTGCCACCACCAAGCCAGAGCTTCTGGAGAGGGCAGATGAGGCAGGCAGCCACAGTCTGCTCAGTGCAGAGGGAGGCCAGAGCCCTGGCACTGACGAGTCGCTCAGGGCCTGGGCCTCTTCACTTTCACCTGGTAAGGTCATATGGTGTCCGGAATCTCTACTTGGAGAAATAGAGGCAGAGGTGAGGGAGTGAGCTGCCAGACATCACAGCCAACAATCAGGGCCAGACCCAAGTGTTCTGATGCCCAGGGAATGCTTAGGCCACTTCCCACACTCATGTCCCATTTGACCTGAGACCGCTGTGGGAGCTTGAGGAGAAGAGCAGAAGGCAGAGCAGATACCAAGGAACCTGGGACTGAGAAAGGCTGTTACAGCCCGTGCAGCATCCTGAGAAGAGAGGTGCCCTGGAGGCCGGCCTCCTCCTTGAGACTTTCCCTGTTGTCGTGTCTGTTCCCATGGCCCTCAGACCTGCTCGCTTAGGTCCTCCTCACCGTGCAGCCTAATTCCTGCTTCCTCTCTAGGTTTCACTCTCCTTGAGGGAAGGAACTGAGTCTTGCTATAATATGCCCCTTCACCCACCACGCAACCTAGTACCTGGCACATACCAAAATAATAAGTAATAATTATTAAATGAACAGTGAACCAGAATAGGAGCTCAGTTTTCTCCATCTTTCAAATAATAACATTGAATCAGAATGCAGTGTTCAGAGCTTTCTTTTTTTAATTTTTATTTTAAGATGACAACTGGAAACATAGATCATAGGGGAAAGTGGGACCACTCTGGTTGAAGGATAGGAACCCTGGAGTCCTGTTTGCTCAAAACGAAATAGCTCATGCCAAGACACTGTTGCTTGCTTTCTATATTTTTATGCTGCTTTTTGGAGAGAAAGGCTCCCCTTTGAAGCAGGCACTTTGACTAGATAGATGAAATCACAGTGAGCCCAGAGTGGGGAAGAAAGTGGGTGTTGAAAGGGTACCGAGCGGCTGGCATGTAGGGCCAAGGCTAAAAGTCACATTTTTCAGGCACCTGCAGGGAGTGGGGCACCACAGAGAGCAGGACTGAGAAAACCCTGAGTAAAGGGGCCTTGTGCAGCAAGATGAGGGTAGCAGCCCAAGCAAGTGTGGTGGGGAGTAAGAAGTTGGGTGGGTGGAGTATGGCTCTTGTAATTTTGCTCCAGGCTGCTACTGCTGCAGCCTGGGCTGTGCCTCCTCCCTTGTGGTGTAGGGAGGGGAGCTGGGCCCAGGCACTGCAACCGCTCTGGCCACCGGGCTAGGCCCCTATAGCAGGTGTGGGCTGGACTGGGGCTTGTTCAGAGGCATCAGCCAGCACCACTGTCCCCAGAGCTGCAGAAGCTCCCAGGCAGATGCCGAGCAGAACCTGGCCTAGGTGCCCCTGAGTCTGAGGTCCCTCCTCAGCTCCGGGCTTAGCGCTGCCATGGAGCCAGGGCTTGCTCCTGGATACAGTTCAAGTTAGCAAGGGAGGTGGAGGAACAGGGCTTGGGGGTTGAGGTTGCACTGCTGTTTTAGCAGTTACTTTCTTGCACTCTACTCTCTAGATTTTCTAGATTTATCAGGAGAGTGCTTTGCATCCTCCCTTACCCCCAGAACTGGGCCTGACTCCTAGGAGCTGCTTCCATACCCTCTGCTGCAAACCTGCAGTCACCAGACACTGGAGATGTGAGATTGCTTTATCTACTGGATGCTTCCACAAGTGGCACCTCCTGCCAGAATTCTAGGAGCAGTGTAAAGGGGTCCTCATTCAGGAGGTCTGAGCAGGGTCTGGGCACTGCGGTTTCAACGTGTTCTTCTGATAATTCTAGTGTGGTCAAAGTTTGACAACCAAGGGCCAGAGATCCCTCTAAACAGGACTGACCAGCCTCTAACCTTTGACAGCATCCATGTTTTGACTGTGCAGATGTATTCTTACACAAATACATTTTCACCAAGCAATGCAGAGGTTATGGATAAAACTAAAGGGTTCTTTTTTCTGACCACCTGCCCAACCCCAGGGTAGCTACCTTTACCAGGCTTTTTTTCTCATGCATTTCCATATGGGCATATACTATAGAAAAATATAGGATTTTAGGCTTCATTTGGTGGCTCAGCCTGTAATCCCAGCACTTTGGGAAGTCGAGGCTAGTGGATTGCCTGAGTCCGTGGGTTTGAGACCAGCCCAGGCAATTTGGCAAGACCTCGTCTCTACAATAAATAAAAAATTAGCCAGGCATGGTAGCACATGCCTGTAGTTCCAGCTACTTGGAAGGCTGAAGTGGAAGGATCACTGGAGTACAGCAGGTTGATGCTGGGGTGGCCATGAGTATGCCACTGCACTCCAGCCTAGGCAATGGAGTGAGACTCCAACTCAAAAAAAGAGAGAAAAATACAGGGTTTAAAACCATGCAGATAAACTGTGCCCATCCTCTGCAGCTCGCTATTTTCACTCAATAGTATGTCTTAAGGGTCTTTATGTGTCTGTACACTTAGATCAACTTCCTCTCTGAAGCCTGGGCTGACCGCATGTAGGAACTTGGTTTCCAGGGTTCTGATTAATCGTAGAGCCAGCCTGGGCCAGCACCTTCTCAGCATGACTATGCCAGAAGTGCCTTGCATATGACAAAGAGTGAGCTGTGCCCCTGTGGTCCTGTCTACAAACCTGGCAGTGTTGAGCAATGTTAGGTTAGCTGTTCGGTATTGCTGGCTTGGGATGTTTTCCATTCATGCATTTATTTAATAAAAATTGTGCCTACCCTGTGTCCAGCCTGGGGCAGGAAGGAGAAGCAGTAATTAATCTCCGTTAAGATGAGCCTTAGAGATTACAGAGATTGTGAGGTCACTTGGCCCTTGAAGGATGCATATCCAAGGGCACTGTAGAATGTGTTTTTGGCTGCTGTAACAGGGACTGAACAAAACAAAACAACGAAACAGTAGCTTACATAAGGTAGTAGTTGATTTCTGTCTCCCAAGGGGACTTTTTTGGCAGCTGACAGTCCCAGGCTCCTTCTGGCTTGTTGCTCCACCTTTCCTGGGCTGTGGCCTTGTCACTGTGGTTCAGGACAGCTCATTGCCATGTCTGCAGTCATTCAGAAAAGTAGGTAGGGAAGAGGGGGATGTTTTGTAAGGACAACACATGCATTTCTTGTTTAATAAACACACATTTAGTACTTATGTACTTTAGGAATGCTGACCATTTAGCCTGTTACAACCTTTGTTCCTCATGTTGTAGATGAAGAAACCAAAGCACAGAGAAGCTAAAGCTGTCAAAGGTCATGTAACTGGAAGAGGCGGTGCCTCTTGCATCCCAATAGTTGAACCAGTCTCATGGCACATAAACTTGCAGGGAAGGCCCAGAAACAGTCTGTAGTCTGGATGGCCACACACCCAGCAGAACACCAAAGGCTCTGCTGCTGTTGAGGGAAGGCAGCAGTGTTAGGAGATGCTGCCTGTCTCCCTCACAGCTCAAAGCCTGTCATTTGCAGGCCAGCCTCTCCTGGCTTGACTCACTGCCACAACACATGCCCTTGTTCTCAGAAATCCCCAGGGTCTGCGCTGCCTTTGCTGGGTCCTATAGTTCTGTTGGGAGTACCTTGTGGTGTCTAGTCCCAGGCTGAGATTGTGAAAGGAAAGATGCCCCATGACCTCTGATGCCCTCAGGGCCTCTTCCTCTCTCCCTTAGAAACAGGCCCGCTGATATCTCCCCCAGGAGTTCTGTCTTGGATCAAACAAGAGGAGGCATGTGGGAGGAGCCAGCAGGGCCCACAGGAGACGACTTCTACACACCTGTGCTCAGGTAAGTCTCAGTGGCAGGGCTGCCAGCTGCATCCCTGGGCCTTAGGAGATTTGGGGTCCTGTCAGGAACCTCAAAGCACCTCCAGCAGGGCCTCCTCCTGCACAAGGGTCTTGAGGGGGAGGCAGTGAGCAGTCTACCTGCATTGTCTTTGTATCCCTCTGGTCTTGTACATTTGTTGTGTGGTGTCCTCCTATGCAGTTACATGAAATTATTCTTTTATTTCTGAGACTGTTTCCTGACATCACTTTATGAACTCATCTGTAGGCAGTGTGGTGCTGGGCATTGCTGGGAATCATCAATGCATAAGACCCGGGTTTTCCCCATCAAGAAATTTGCAATTAGGAGGAGAGAACAAACACAGATAAATAGTATAAAATAAGAGGAAACAACTGTTTCTAGACCCAGAGGGGCCTTGAAGAATGAAAAATATGGCTAGTATCTTAAAACACATGTGCTTACGGTGTGGGTATGGCTAAACTGTGGTCGAAGGGATGACTTAGTGGCCATGTGTAGCTTAGACGAAGGTGCTGTCAGGGGGAAATGTCATGATGGTCTTGGGAGGCTCCATGGGAGAGGTGGGACTTGAGAGGGGCTTGAAGCCTGGGTGAGAGGCAGAGGAGGCAGGAGGCATTCTGGGTGGAGCAGAATCTTGAGCTGAGGCTCAGAGGTGGGATGAACAGGGTGTTTGGACAGCACAGAGTGACACCGTGAATGGCACAGAGTGGGACCCCCGTGGGAGGCAAATAGGAGGCCAGTAGATGGAGGCCAGAGCCTCGGACTTCCAGTAGCAGGAGAGCCATGGGTCAGGGCGTACTGATTCCAGAACTCGTGGCAGAGACCACTCACTTGCTGTGCCCCTGTGTGTTCCTTCCCAGCAGAAACCTGGTTGGTCAGCAAAGAGAAGAGGAGTCTGGAGGGAGAATCTGAGGGCCAGGAGCCAGCCCTGGCCTCTGAAGGGGGTTCTGGCAAGGAAGACTTCGAGGGGGACACTTGTGGGGATCTGTCTCCTGCCCCCAGGGAGAGGGAAGTGGCCTCTCTCCCTCCAACTCCTGTGAGCCAGGCCGTGCTGGCCACTGGGGTCACGGAACAGTGTTCCCCCTGTGCAGAGTGTGGCCAGAGCTTCAGCCCGGAGGAGCTCAGCACGCAGCACCAGCACACACACCCCAGCCCTCTCCCCTTTGCCCGTGCTCAGTGTCCCAAGAGCTTCACGCAGCGGGCCAGCCTCGCCAGCCATCTCCGCGTGCACACAGCCAAGCGCGCCTACACCTGCGCCCAGTGCGGCAAGAGCTTCGTTCATCAGTCAACACTCACTACCCACTACCGCACACACACTGGGGAGAAGCCCTATGAGTGTCCCGAGTGTGCCAAGCGCTTCGGCCGCCTGTCCACGCTGCTGGAGCACCGGCGCACGCATACAGGCGAGCGGCCCTTCCAGTGCACACAGTGTGGCTGCCGCTTCGGCCGCCTATCCACACTGGTGGAGCACCGGCGCACGCACACTGGCGAGAAGCCCTTCCAGTGTGCACAGTGTGACAAGCGCTTCACGTGCCTGGCCAACCTGACTGTGCACCAGGGCGTGCACTCGGGCGAGCGCACCTTCCAGTGTGCCCAGTGTGGCAGCCGCTTCACGCAGAAGCCCAGCTTCTTGCGCCACCTCCGTGGCCATTCGCAGGAGAAGCGCTATCCCTGCGGCCAGTGTGGCAAGAGCTTCACCTGTCCTTCCTGGCTCCTGCGACACCAGGGCAGCCATGCCAGCCGGGCCCCTGTGTCCTGTGCGGCTTGCGAGAGTGGCTACCCAGCCCACGAGCCTCCTGCTGGCCTCCTCAAGTATGCAGTGTGGGGAAGGCCCCCCAGCGACCCTTCTGCTGCACCCGGATTTGAGAAAACAAGGACCGAGCATGGCCTCCTGGGGCACCCTGGGGACCGGCAGCTGAGTGGTCGTGATCTGGAAGGTCTTAGAGAGGTGCCACATAGTACTTTCTCTCTTGTGAAGCTGGAGATGGTGGGATAGCACCCAGAGAGCTCCCAAAGGGGCCACTGAAGGTGCAGGGCAACTGGTGCCCCTTGAATCCAAGCAGCCTCTCCTAGGGGGTTTGACCAGGTCAGAGCACCTGGTGCTGCCCTGGGCTTCCCGCAGAGAGCTGTTCTCCCCGGGACTGCAAGGTGGGCCATTTGCCCATGAGGCTTCTTGCTGCAGGGAGGCAAACGTGGAGGCAGGGCTAGGGTAGAGACCGGCCCCAAATGCCAAACCTCATTGGAGATGGCTACTTGGGGTGGGAGGTGGGAGGGGGTGGCTAGCTTTGCCTTGTTCCATTAGGGGAGTGATTTTTGAAGACAAACTTCCCATTTGGGAGATAGAAATTACTTAGTGCTTTGAAGAGGATCAAAGGCATGCTCACTTAAAGCATACTCCTTGGTTTCTTGGATGCTAACTATGCAGATTCTGAACTGCTTCCTCAGGTGGGGAGGCCCTGGAAGTCCAAGCCAGTCTTCTGTTTAGGCTGAGCCCAAGTGTTTCTCATGCGTGAATACAAGAGCCTTGGTGAGAGTCCGAGATTCATGGAAACTTTGACTCTACCTCTTCCCCAAGCCCTCTTCCTGTCCCATTACCTGGGAAAGGCAGCTTTGTGGGCTATGTTGTCACAGAAAGACCTGCACTAGATGTGGCCCAGTACTCATGACCAGCTATCCTGGCCCCACAGGGCACTGTCCAGTTGGTGTGAGATTTGCCATTGTTGGAGCAGGCAGGCCAAGGGACCTTTCTGAAGGTCCGACCTGTGCCAGCCACTAGGAAGACAAAGCTGAGTCCCGCTTCCTAGCTATGGGGCTGTGGGGGGTGTGCTGGCACCTGGGGAGCACACACCAGCAGATGGCACAGGCTGTAGTGAATATTGCAGAAGACCCTAAAAGCTGAGAGGAAAGAAACCTGGATGTGGCCTGCCAGCAGCTGAGGAGCCCCTGAGATCCTGGTGGCTCCTGCCACCACCTGAGCTACTTAGGACAATCACTTGGACTTTTCAAGTAGGCCCCTTGGGGTGGCTGGCAAGTTTGGGAACCTACCATTTTGATAAACTGAGTTTCCCCTCAGCTACTGGAGACCTTAGCCACAACTGGACCCCTGCTGTGACCCCAACTTCCCCAGGAGCCCCTAGGTGTCCAGAGCCTCAACTGTCAGATAATCCCCCTTCCCAGTACTTGAAGTGTGTGCATGTGTGTTTCCGGGGACTAGTCCTGGAGAAGCTGGTGCCATGTGTGCCATTTTCTTCACTTTGGCGAATGTATGAGCAGACACCATAAACTCTGGAGAGCTGCTCTCAGCCAAGTGAAGTGGCTTCTGGCACTGCTGCCCAGACCTTCCTGTTTGTAGCTTGAGCCGGTTTTTATTGGAAGCTCAGTGATTTGCCATAATTGTAACCTATGTAAATAAGCATTTATGAGGAATTGTACAATTTCTCTGTGATTGTTCTTGTTTGTGATATAGTAACTACTTGACTTCAGGTTCCCATGATCAGTGGTGAATGACAGTTATTTTCAACTATGCCTCAGTTCTGAAGCTCTGAATGAAAGTTGCTTAGGCTGAAGTTCAGGACAAGGTCCTGAAGAAAGGCAGAGCCCAGGTGGGCCTGGAGAGCCAGCCTGTCAACACCTGGAGGGCAGGTGCCTCAGCATCCTCTGCTAGAAAGCACCCTATGTTTGTGGAACGAATAAATACAAATGTTTCTATAAGTGGTGCCATATCCAATTTTAATGTCCTTAATCTGAGAATGCCAATTTTAACAATTCTTTACCACTTCCTGCCTTAAATAAAAGTTATTTATATATTTACTATATTTCATCAATTCTAAGATCCACTGATTGTAAGACACCCCTTTATTTTCTATACATATTTTCACTAGGCAAGAAAAAAATGTCTATTTCATCATAACTCTCTGTTCTCAATGCAGGATGTTAAACACATGCCAACTATAGATATATTCCCAAATTGGGAAAAAGTGTGGTAGGTGTCCTTTTAAGAAGTGATTAACTAGCTGGGCAGTGACATATTAACTACTAATTACTATTCTTGACTATGTCAGATCGAAAGATTCATTTTTAATAAAGGTCCTAGAAGTATAAAACTGAACCAAAAACTGCTCTGAGTCCTGTCGAGATGGAGTACCAATAATTCAGATCCCAGAATGCTCTTGAATTTTGGGGAGTTTTAATTTATTTGTAGAAATTTGAGGGGGCATGAATATAATTTTGTTACAAGCATAGATTGATAGTGGTAAAATTGGCTTTTAGCCTATCCTTCATTTAAATAATGTACATCATGCCTATTAAGTAATCTGTCATCAACCACCCTCTTACTCTTGATTTCACCTGGCTTCTACCATCTGGAATCCCATCATTTCCTGTTGCACCAGGGAGCTCACTCTGTTCGGTGACCCCAGGCTATGGAAAGCAGTCCCTGGAAGAAACACTATGCCTCCCTCACTTTAATAAGTGTGTCCCTGTCATTCTAATATTCCAGTTCATTTGTTGAAGCTTTAATTTCCAATGTGATAATATTTGGAGATGGGGCCTTTAAGGGAGGTAATTAGGTTTGGTTGAGGTCATCCAGGTGAGGCCCTCATGATGGAATTGGTGCCTTTACAGGAAGAGGAGGAGACACCAGAACTGTCACGTGAGGATGCAAGAAAGCAGCTGTCTGCTAGCCAGGAAGAGAGACTTCACCAGGATCTGAACACCCTGAAGCCCTGACCTTAGGGTCTTGATTTCACCTTGACTTCAGACATCCAGCCTCCAGAACCGTGGGAAGTAAATTTCCGTCAAGCTACAGTCTATGGTATTTTGTGATGGCAGCCTAAGCTAGACACAGTCCCATCCCAGAAGCTCTGCACTCTCTGCTAACAACACTAACCATTATTTCTTAAGATTCGCTGTGGGTCAGGCACTACTCCAAGGACTCTCAGCCTGGAGTCAGCACACTTGACCTGAAGAGGACCAGATGGTACATATTTGTTATTTTACAGGCCAGACAATCTCTGTCACAACCACTCAACTCTGACCTTGTAACAAGAAAGCAGCCGTAGACAATAAGGAAATGAACCACAGTAGCTGTGTTCCAAGGAAACTATTTGTGGACAATTGAGTTTTATATAATTTTCCTGTGCCACTGTGTGTGTGTGTGTGTGTGTGTGTGTGTGTGTGTGTGTGTGTGTGTGTTTTGAGTAGGAGTCCCACTCTGTTACCCAGGCTGGAGTGCAGTGGCATGCTCACAGCCACTGCAGCCTTGACCTGCTAGGCTCAGGTGATCCTTCACCTCAGCCTTCCAAGTAGCTGGAACTACAGGCACGTACCACCACACCTGGTTAATTTTTTGATAGAGATGAGGTCTTGCCCAATTGCCCAGGCTGGTCTCGAACCCATGGACTCAGGCAATCCTTTCACCTCGCACCTCCCAAAGTGCTGGGATTATAAGCGTGAGCCACCATGCCCGGCCCACAAAATATTTTTAAAAAGCAACAGCTAATATTTATTGAGCACTTACTCTGTGCCACTTTTATTTTTAAGAAACCAATTGTCACATTTACTTGTCCCTCTAGCCTATGCGGTCCCATCGTCCTTTTACCCAGCCATTTAGATATAAAACCCATCCTGAGCCCACTGGGCCGTACCCATGGTAGGCTATAGTTTGCTGATACCTGCTCTAAAGTTTCTCAGTGAATCTTCACAACCGCAAGACCTTTTACTATCCCCATTTAACAGATGGTGAAACAGAGGTCTAGACAAGTCCATGAAAAAAAAAGGGCTCAGCAAACTTGAGGAGTAACACTCGAAGCTCCAGCTGGACCACTGGGAAGGATCAGCTATACTCCCCTCAGAGCGGTCCCTTCCACCTCCTTCCAGGAATGCTGCAGTCTCCCCCTCTCCTGGTCCTTCCTGCAGATCAGAGGAGGTAGCAGGACCTACAAGAGCCTGGGCCACCCTCTTGGCTTCATTTGTTAGGAGCCAAGTTCTGTGTGGCGTATGTTCAGCCTTTGCTGAGCATTCCTGACGGTCCCATACTTCACCACACACAGTGGAGTTCACTTATCTTCTGATCTGCGTTGGATATGTATTTCTCTTCTCTTCCTCAACCCTTTCCCTTCCTTGGGGACCTAAGGTCTCCAGGAGAAGCTATCTCCAGGCCAGGAAGGTTGTAGCCCCAGCACTCCCAGGGACTCCCACATCTGATCAGGGCAGCAAGGCTTGAAGAAGCTGGTACATCATAGCCTGGAGGTGTCCAGGCCCAGAATGGCAGCTTCACTGTTCCTTTTGCAGGCTAAGTCCCTGCTCTGGAGGACCCGACAACTGTCTGGATATAGACGTTGGAAATCAAGATGCCAGTAGGGTCTGCTACCTCTCAGACTCTGGGTTAGAACCCTTCCTTGCCTCTTCCTAGCTTCCTGAAGTGACTTCAATCCTTGGCAACCCTTAGCTTGCAGACAGTTCTCCCCAGTATCCCTCCATCTTCCCATGACATTCTTTTTGTGCTCTTATCTGTGTCTCTTCTTACAAGGACACCAGTCATATTGATGAAGGCCCACCCTGATGACCTCATCCTGAACTCATTACATGTGCAAAGACCCTATTTCCAGATAAGGTCCCATTTACAGAACCAGAGGCTAGGGCTTCATCGTACCTTTTTAGAGGACACATTCAACCCATATCAGGGACCTTGCCTCTTGGTAAACATGCACAATGAAGAAACCCGCTCCTCCGAGTACCAGTTTGTCTCCTAAGTGGCCTATAATGTAAATGAAACGAGAGGACATTCCTGTGTGAAAGTCAGCTAGGGGAAGGCATCTGGCCTTGAACCCCAACTTGTTGACCTGCAGTCCAATACCATAAGCTCCAGCCCCAACACATTGGCAGGTCTGGTTCTTTTCTCCATTGGAGTCACACTTAGGGCCCAGGATGCTTATTAATTCTGCGTGGAGGGCCTGCTTTAAAACAGCCCTTGGGCTTCAAAATCTTTCTGGGCTC